TCTAAAGAAAGAGAAATGTTCAGACCAGATGAATTTTTCCAGACATTCGGAGAACACAAGGATTATTGAACTGTTACATAAAAGAAGGAAAATAAGGCTTATTACCAAAGTATTTTTTGAAGTATCATCTTGATCCAAAGAGCAGACAAATATTCAACCACACAAAAATATCCTATCTACCAAGATCTATGATTAACATAGATGCAAAGTTTCTCAATAATTACTTTGTTAACATATTCAGGAACTTATCAAAGGATATTAAAATGGCTGAACTCTTTTTAAATATAGTACCAAATTCTAAGATAGAAAAAAAGATAAATGAACAAATAAAAGCTGTACAAATAAGAAAAAATCAAGTCAAAGTACCTATTCTTGAGTGATACAACTCTATCAGTGCTAGACTGAAAGTGTTTAGCAGGGATCACTTAGATCTGATAAAGACTTTTAACAAAGTGACAGGGTACAAAATTATCAAACAAACATAAATAGATTTCTCTATACCAATGATGAACAAATTGAGAAACAATTCAGAAACATCAGTCTGTTAACAAATGTCTAAAGAAAATACCTCAGAATAATTCTAAACATTTGTGCTGGCCTCTTAAAATGTCCCATATAATGTTCAGATTTGAATACTTGATTTGCAGATGGTGCATTTTATGGGAAGATTAGCAAGCATGAACTTGCTGGAGGAAATATGTCATTGGGGTGAGATTTAAGGTTTCAAGGACTAGCACTGTTTCAACTGCTCTCCTTCTGCCTCCTGTTTGTGGGTTGAGGTGTGAGATCTCAGGTGTTACTCCCATGCCATGCCTCCTGTCTCCCTGAGGCCATGCTTCCTGTAATGGTAATGATTGACTCTTATCACTCTGCAAGCATAAGTTCCAAACAAAGCATTCCTTCAATACATTGCCTTGTTCATGGTGTTTTATCACAGCAATAGAAAAGTAATGAATACACCCAGGAGGCAAAGCCCTGATTACTGAAAACCTCAACACATTGAAGACAGAATCTTATGCAGATATTAGGAGATGAAAAATGTTCCCATGGTCACATACTAGAGAAATTCATGTTATAAAAATGTCCATCCTACCAAAACAATGAACAGACTCAGTACAATACCAATCTAGATTTTAGTGTTGTTCATAGAAATAAAAATTAATAATCTTCAAATTATTATGGAATGGTTGGATGTTCATTCTTAAATTCAGCATTACAGAACTGTCTCTAATCCTCAGGGATCATTGCAGAAGAGGCAGTGTAAATAATGTAAAAGTTGAAAAAAAGAAAAAGAAGGGATGGAAAATGCTGACATGTGGGCATGACAGAACAAGTGTACTCATGATCTTAAAGCAATTGAAGCAGCTGCAAAGATTCTGCATAAGACTTGCTCATAAATGAGGTATCATACTGTGATGAAGGTACTCACTGGACACTACAACTCCATAATGAAATTATGAATACTGAATGATTCTGGGTGGTAGGAAGTCACTGTCCTCAGTTGTGTCCCCAGTGAGGTGCCAACTAGGTTTCCATTGGTAGTCAAAACCCCACATTCCCACAGAAGATAAAAATCATGGTTAAATTGAATGGGCCACCAATAAAGAGATGTGAAAGTTATAAAAGAGAACTGTAGGGAATGGGGGTTACTAAAGGTGAGAGGGAGATAAGATAGGGAAAAGGGTTTCAATAAGCAGAATATAATGTATATATCTTTGTAATTTCTAAAGAACAAATTCAATAATAAATTCATACAAAAGCACAAACAATTCCAGATAGTCAAGCAACCTTGGAAAAAGATAGTTCCTTATTTACAGTTATACTATAGAGATAGAGTAATGAAAACAGCAAAGCATTGACACCAAAGAAACGTGTGGATTAATTGAATAGAAAACCAAGACATAAGAATCCACAGCTGCAGGCACTGTATTTTTGACAAAATATCGAAAACATGGTATCTTCAGTACATGGTATTTTGGACATTATATTGCTATGTGTGGAAGAATGAATTTCGATCTTAATCCTTCATCACACACACACACACACACACACACACACACACACACACATACACACACATACATATACACACACACACACACACACACAAAGACACACGCAAACACACATTCACACCAATTCTAAATGTATCAAGACTCTCAAAAGAAGTTTCCTCAACACAAAACTCTGAAAACTCTGACACAGTTGAGGAAAATACAGGAAGTGCACTTTGAGAGGTAATCACAGGTAAGGACATCTAAATGCTACTCATCTCACTCAGAAAACAAGGCAAATACTCAACAAGTGGGACTCCCTGAAATTAAAAAAGATTTCTATCAACCAAAGAAAATCATTAATCATGTGAAGATTTAGCTAATAAAATGGAAGAAAGCTTTGCCTGTTATATGCTTCCAGACAATGTGTATCTAGTATCTAACAAGAATTAAAGATAATAAAATATTCAACATAAAGAAAGAAATGGATGAAAACCTGTGGTATGGAACTAAAAAGTATACCATAAAAGAAAGGGAATGCCTCATATGAATTTTGAAAGTGTTCATCAACATTAGCTATCAAAGAAATACAAATAAAAACTCAAAACTACTCAGGAGTCCATCTTATCTATGTCAGTATGGCCACTATTTTCTAAAAGAAAAAATGCCAGAGTTGTAACATAAAGAAAATGTGTCTCAGAAACAACAAGAAAGACAAAAAAGGAAAAAAAAACACAAATAAATGTTGGAAGTGCATGTTGAAAATGTTTGAAAAGAGAAGATAATTTAAATATAAAGGGATGTGAAAGGAGTAGATGCAAGTAATGGACAACACTGTTGAATGAGAATATAGGTAATGTTTTTCTTTTTCTAAATTTCTCATGGATTTGGGGGTTTTGTGGCCCAAAATTGGGTGGAATATAAGCAATATTGAAAGTATAATGTTTAATATGAATTTTCCCAGCTTCCCTTTTGCATACCAATTCAAACTGTATATAAATTCATTAAATTGTATAGACTTTGGGTCTCAATAATTTTGGTGAATCTGGTTTTTATTTATGTGCAAGTTGCTTTATAATAAAATTTAGTTTTTAATTTTTTTTAATTTTCAGAAAAATTGTGGGGAAAGAAAAACACTGTTGGTACTGAAAACTGCACAGTCATTATTTAAATCACTGTGAGAAGCATTAAAAAAGCTGAAAACAGACATTCCATATTACCCAGCTATCAAATCGTAGGTATATACTCAAACTATGTCAGTATATACTACTATAGACTTATATATATACAAATACATAGGTAGTTGAACATTTGTGCTAATTGCGGCTCTATTCACAACAGCTACAGAACAGTTTTAGCCTAGATGCCCATCAACTGAAAATAGATGAGATTGTGATATGTACACACAATACAATTTCATTCAGTTTTAAAGATGAAATTACAAAATTCACAGTAAAATAGTTGGAACTTGAAAATATACTTAATGAGTTAACACAAGCACAGATAGACAAGCACTGCATCTTTTGTCTCATATTTGGATTCTAGACAAATTTTTAGCATGTTTACCTTGATGTGTATATAAAGGAGAGGAAGGGATAAAAGAAACATTAGAAGAGTAGCAAGAAAAAAGAGACCTTAAGGAGAGAGAAGCACCAGGGCACATATGGTATCAATATGAAGGAAGGGAGTAAGAGACTGATTGTGTTTATGCAAAGATGGGGTGGGTAAATTGGGGATAGAATTAACCAAAACCCAGAATATAGGAAAATGCCATTAGTTTGTAAGCTCATTTAAAAATTTATTAAAGAGTTTAAATCAAGGAAGCTTTTATGAGCAGATACTTATGTTCCCAAAAATTATTGGTTATAAAATGAAAGCTGTATTGCTATTATTGGGATACCCTAGGAATTGTTGACTAAAATGGGCTTGGGGATCCAAATAATGTAGGCAATTGTCACTATTGTCAATTGTCCTCAAAACTGGTTGGTAAGACCTATTTCTTATTTCTTTCTTTTTTTTTTCTTTTTTGGCTTTGGAGACAGGGTTTCTCTGTGTAATTTTGGTGCCTGTCCTGGATCTTGCTCTATAGACCAGCCTGGCCTTGAACTCACAGAGACCCACCTGGCTCTGCCTCATGAGTGCTGGGATTAAAGATGTGCACCACCACTGTCCAGCTAAGATCCTATTCCTAAAGCTAATCTCATAGTCTTGTCAGACAACATAAGGGAAGAAAACTGGGAATGAGCTGAAATATGCCTTTCTGCTGAATAGCCCTCATTGTAACAAAAGGTTTATGTAGGATTCTAGTGGGAGATTCTTGTCAATAATATTATTCAACTATGGACACTGATATTTATAGTTCAACCATCCATACAACATACACCCACTGGTGCAATAACTGCAATTGTGGTATCAGAGTAACCAATCATTTTCTGATTGATAAGACTTCACATCTGATAGAGTCATCATGTTCAAATATTCATGATGAGAAGGAAATAGGTCCTAGTGTTGTTGCTATCACTGTTGCTCTGTTAACCACAAGGTATAACATCTTCCTTAGTACTAGAAAGACTAGATACTCCAAATATTGCCAGGATGGTTAGTCATAGGTCAAGCTGTAGCTGTGCCATTATGCAGTGGCTTGTGAGAACAGGAAGACTTCACAATTAGGTTTGTGATAGTAATGATCCTTGGGTCAACAGGTTGGTAGAGTGTAGAGGAATAAGATGGAGCCAAGAGAAAATTATAGAATATACTAAAGGCTTGAGTTGTAACCAAGTTAGATAACATAAATGACTTGGGGGTTGAATCCTATGATTAAATAAACAGAATATTGAAGTGAGTGCTTATAGTCTTAGAACGCATGAAGTACAGCGAGGAGGAGCAGATCTTCCAGGTAATCCCTATCTGCATAGAGAATTCATGGCCAGCCTAATCTGTATCTCGTCTTGTCTTTATAAATGTAACTGAGCCTCCCTCAACCCCTATATTTAACAGGACACTCACCATTTCCTTTGAGGAACCATTCAATGTAAGTTCCTAGTGACTCTGGATTATCAATAAGGTTTGTGTTACGCAGGAAAAAATATCCAGACACAAGAATATATCTGGGATTTCTGATGACATAGATCACCTTAAATGAAAAAACATGTAAATGAAGGTCAATATAGTCATAAACCAATTTGATCTGGCTTAGTTTATATGAAAAGTCAATCAAATATCAATGAGGTTTCCAAAAGTATTTATTATTCTTATTTGAACAAAATATGAACACAAGTGCAAAATGTCTATATTTATCAAAATCTTCTTTTATATTTTATTTGATTTACAAAAATGTAACAGCAAAATGGCTGAGTTCAGTAATACTTTAATAAAACCAACAGCAACAATAAAAAGACAAGATTGATTCAATACTTGTAAAGATCAATATTTTACAGGGTGAAAGCCTGCCTATCCATCCACTCTGAAAGAATATTTTATATATACAGAACAATGCATACTAAGCTAAATTTATCTTAAAAATGACAAACTAATTGTTTTCTGTAACTGTAACTATAAAGAAAACTCTCAAAGAATCATTATGCAGACTTTAATGCTAATATTTTCATTGCAAAATGGTGAACACAAAGAGCCATGAGCACCTAAAAAATGCTGAGATGGAAAAAAATGGGAAAAGCATAGCAATTGGTTATGCAATACCAATTTCTTAGGCCTGAAAACATAATACAAGTAACATTGTACATATTGAACAGATTGTACCAAGATACTTAGGACTATGTAGATACATATACAGATGTAACAACAAATAATGAAAAAACACAAATTCGAAAGACAGAAAAGAGGGGTATGATGGTAAGCTAGGAGATAGGAAGAGGAAGGGGGAATAATGTAATTATAATGTAATCTCAAAAACAGAAGAAATAATTTCAAAAAATTAATGAAATGAAATTAATATTTTGTCCCAATATTTGTGACAATATATAATTCATCTTTTAGGCCTTAATTTCTCCAGATACAAGTTTTCTAAATCTACATAAGACACATAAATATAGCTTTATAATCACAACTTCATTGTGATAGATTCAAGAGAGATTATTTTCTGCATTTGTCTTTGTATTTTAAGCATAAATACTTGTAGGTTCTTGGGTATGGGTACTTCTACAAAACCTTCTTATTAACAATAAGCAACAATGTATCAGAACCTGGTTATTTCTGATTCCTTTAGGAGATCCCCTATCAGTGATGTTGGTGATTTTTGTGGCTACTGGTCTTAATGGACAGCAAGACACAATGGATACAGATAAGCCATGGTTGTTGAACAATCTCCCAGATTACAGCATTTGTGCCTGTATAGGCTGCTTCCCCTATGAGCAACTCTGCTTGGGTGATTCACCCATTAGGTTTCAGCTATATGTAGAATCAATTTTAGCTAAATGACTTTGATGACAACAAAACAGTAATATCCACTGTACACTAGAGTTTGAGCTCTACTTGTCTTGCATGTGTAGTCCTTGAATGCCCTACTGTGATAACACAGGTTTTTTGTTTTTTGCATTTTATCTGCCCAGGATCACTGAGAGATGGTTGATATCCTGGTACTCTGATACAGTCTGAGGAGGGGACAGATTAGCATCACCTAGTGCATGAGAATCCAAACTTCCCTCTCCAGATCTACACAGAATGCATTTCAGGCAGAGGTCCAGGGCCCAATGCAGTAGAGTAAGTTCAATGAGCATTTGACCAAAGATTTCTCAACCACTGGACACTGACCTTGGCCTTGGATCTGAAGAAAGACTTGGGGAAAAGATGGAAAGGGAGGTGGGAGGACATGAGGCGTGGTCCTTCCTTATTGATCAATATTGGAAATCCCCTTTTAGTCTCTATCCAGGGTGAGCGATCCCAGATAGGCACAGATTGGATCCATTTGGGATTTCCCTTGGTCTGAATTAAGCAGATAGTCTCAATCAGCCAGTTAGTTCCTGAACAAGAAAGAAAAGTTATTGTCACTCATTTCAAGAGAACTTCTGAAAAGCCTTAAATAGAATATACAAGCATAAAATTTACAATGTAGTTGTTTCCAAGCAAAAAAGCATGTGGTATTTGCAATATCCACATCATGTAAGTACAAAATATATTCTTCCAGAAGATTCAAAATGCTTCACCTAACAAAACTGAGAATCTTTGCTCAGTAAACCCCACCTGCTTATTGAACATTGCCTCCAGTCAAGAACCATTCTGTTTCAGTGAATTCAACTATTCCAGATATTTGTCAGGGATGCAGTCATGGTATCTGTCCTTGATATTGGAACATTTTATTTAATACAGTGTCATTAATATGCATCCATCCTGCACTGTATGTATTAGTACTGCTTCTCTTTAGCTTAAATAAATTCCATGGTCTATTTACCATACACAAATGTATTTGTGATTATATGTTCATTTGTCAGTGTTTCCCTAGCATTATTCTTCTGAGCTATTATCTGAATCCTTTTCCTGCAGTCCACTTTCCTTAGATTTTCCATGTTATTGCCCTTTGATGTTAGCAACCTAATACTTAACCAATATTTACTGCTTCTGCCACCCACCACACTCCTCCCCCAAATGAACATGATGTCTTTCTTGCTTCCTTGAGTTTTGAAACTCTTTCCTCGACTTGAGGAAGGTCCATGGTAATTCTTCTACCTGACTGTCCTCTCCTCCACATATTCTTAACATTCATAACTTTTTCCTTGATGCTCTTTTATCTGTTTATTTGCATCATTATCTCTTCCACCCAGAGAGAAACAAATGCCACCATATGCTTTAGGAAACACTGTCATTGCCCCAAGGATCAGCTCAGGCACTCCTAGTGCCTAAGCTGCTCCACTGATAACTTTGCTTAGGTTAGAGTTCTTCCTCTGAGTGAAAATGCTCTCAGATACAGCTCTCCAACCCACAAACCATTGAACACATGAGATATACAAATCATTCCATTCACCACCTAAATGATGGATGATTAAAGCCCAAAACCTCCACAGACAGTTCAGGATCATCCTCAATGATGTTCCTTACCTGATTTAGGATAACTCACTATGACCGAGTCTTCATCTCTGATCACAAACTTATCAAGGCTTTCTTCAATAATTTCTTTTTTATACAATATAGCAGAGAAAGGTATTCCCTCAAACCAAAAGTAGGCTGACATCCCAAAAAACTTTTTCTTTGGTGCTGTGAGAATTCCAGCATTGATCCCCTTTTCAGCTTAAAGCAAATGCTGAGAGGTAAAATTTATAGTGCAGGAAAAAAATCATTAACATCCCAAAGATTGTACAGAAATGTTCTGCTGATAGGAAGAAATACCATTTGCAGAAACCAGTCAAAGGTTGCTGTATTAAGCAACTGTGAACTTATTCAGAGATTGGTCTAGAAAATTGTGAGCCTGAAGTCATGACCCCAAACCAGAAACTCAATAACAAGTACTTAGAGATTGAAATAAGGCTTAGTTAAAATATTTTCTAATACAATTAAGCATTCCCAATGGTTTCAAATGTGCAAAAAATTTACAAAGGGCATAAAAAATGTTGCCCTGAAAAAAGTTGTCATGTACTACACCTCAGCCTCATTTTCCCCTCCATTGCCTTCCTCTCTTTCCCATATTCATGATCCCTTCTTTCATTTTCACTGCTATGTTGATATGATCACACATTTACATACCATACAGAGTCCATTTAATTCTCTTTGTATGTGAATATATCCTTAGATGAGCACTAGGAACTGAATAACCAATATGGGATTTCCCCTCCTGAGGCAGTTGATAATACCTTCATTGACCTGTTTTGTTGTGTTTGTTTTTTCCTCTATGGATAAGACAATGTAAAATTTTCCCTATCATTATTTGGGTAAAAACTGTGCCATTATGGTGGTTCATTTGTATAAATATACTGGTGAGTGTTCAAAGGTGTTTGCTCTGTCATGTCTGTAGGATATATCCTATCAACAGATATCCTCAGGCTCTGTGTTTTTCACAAACCTTAGGTAGAACAGATTCATTGTATAAAAGTTTTGAAACTCTGTGAGTTTGGTCCTGGTTTTGGGCACCAAAATGGAAGTAACTTTTGCAACTCTGTGGTTTTGGTCTTAGGTTTTGGCACCAAATTATAAATTTTGCAACTCTGGGTGAAAGGTATCTTAACTATTTGGAGAGTCAGGTGACAACTAGGACAGCCCTGACAGCAGGAGCTGCATTGTGAAAGCTCAGCTCTAGAGGGTGAGGTATCTGGGACACCTCAAGCTGACAGGATAGCTCAGCCCTGGAGGTATCCCAAATACCTTGACTGGCTTAGGACAGATCATCCCTGGAGGGGAAGGTCTCCCAGATATCTTGAGCTGCTAGGACAGCTCTGATGGCTGGATCTGCAATGAGACAGCTCAGCCCTGGAAGGGAAGGTATTCTGAC